ATTAAATGTCAAAACATGCTATAGTGTACACATATCCCAAGTGATCCTTTCCTGCTGCCTGTTTCACATTGCCTCAGCTCTTCCTGAACCTTTTTGCTATTCTACTTACTCAGATGGTACAAATAATACAGCCTGATAGACAATTGTATGTACAGGCAAGCAACACAGTAGAGGAAAGGGAATGGTAAGGAAATAAACAGATTTAGCCCATTTAGATTGAGTTTTGTTGAATCAAAACCAAGGTGATTGTATCAGCCTATCAGAATATAAGAAAGTATCACAGAGTGGCTGGGGGAAGCAGGAATTGACAGGTTGTTTGGTGGAGGGTTTTCAGCCGGTTATCAGGATTTCCTCCCTCTATACCATCTGACAATCAGAATCTCAATTTATCTTGGAAAACAGTGGACAAAGCCACCCTGATGAAGTTAAACTGCTAAGATCAAAATTATCTTTTATTTATTTATTCATTTATTTTATTACTGATTCTCTTCTTCATGTCTTTTTAGGACTCGTGCACTGCGTAAAGTATGTCAAAGCAACCCACACAGAGTTAAGAAATATCATCCTGAAGCATTTGTATGTGGTAAATGGTTGTGGTAAGAACAAGAGTTTCTTTTTGTAACTTTTTTAGTTGGTAGTATGTTACAGGAGAATAAAATTCTGTGACTCATTGTTATATTATAAATTTATTTTTGCAACTCTTTCAGCTGCAAAGAGCGGGCAGAAAAAGCACCAGGATGTGCAGCTATAACAGAGTAAGCAATTCTGTGTACACTTTAGTGAGTAGTGAGAGTGCAATTATTGTCACCATACTATTATTTATTTATTTATATCCCTTGTAGAAACTATGACAGTTAAAATTATGGTATTTTGTCTAAGAGGACCAATCATTGTAATCAAAGTTTGCAATTCTCAACTAATTGTGATGGCCCCAATTCAGATGTGCTTAACAAGGTTTCCTATTGGTACAACTTCTGTTCAAGTAAAAATGTTACTGTTGGCAGCTTAGTTTAGATAAAATTGATACAGTTTCTCCTTGTTCAAAAATGTATCCTTGTTTCCAGCCAATGTTGATGATAATTTTACCTATAAAATGTTCTTTAATAGTTATTATAAAATCAAATTTTCCATTTCTCTTTGTTAAGAGTGCCTCAACCTAAATGTGTAAATGTAGCTATTGACTGTGATCGGGAGATTGAAAGAATACACTCACTGTTTTTAATAAACTTGGAAAAGTTGGATGAATTGCAAGGTAAGTTACTCCTTGTGTTTTTTTGTTTTTTCCTTTTTCTTTTTTGTGGGATTAATTAAATTAGTCAAGCTTTATTTAAACATCAATGACTGATGAGTACTTCCACTGTGTACTTGAACATGCTCAATCTCATTCATTGTTTTCAACTAATCCACAATTTTTATTCACCCCCAGTTTATGTTCACTTACACCTTGTATTCAATATTTTTATCTGTTTTGTCTCCACTCACAGAATATCTCTTGCTTAATGCCTAATTTTTGACATTGACCAATCTCACATTGTTACTTTTGGAATTAGTCTCTTGGAACAACTAATGCATTAATATCTAGCAGTTTTTGGTTTTCTGTCTGCCATGTGGTTTTCCTCCCTCTCATTAATTTTGCAATATGTTTCCTTTATTGGTCCACAAATTTACAGTGTTTCCAATCTGACTGATTGAGAGGATGGTGCAAGTTTTCTCGACCAATCACATAAGTGAAACTAAACTGAAACAATCCAATAAGAAGATCTGATTTGTAATTCCTCTTTCTAGTTCTTACATGTTTCATGGTAAATTAGTGACAAGAACTTACATTTAAACCAACTTGAAGAACAAACCTCAGCTGATGGGTTTGTTTCTTCTCTTCATCTGTTTCCAGATAATATGTCAATGTTTTCATACAAAATACCATGGCAGTCACCTCTTTTTGTGTACCACAAAAAATAATTAGAATTTGTTACATAGTTTTCATCTCTGAAACTATTTTTTTCTCTTCCAGTTGAATGTGAGAGTCAAAGTGAAAACTGCACTGTTGAAGGAACAACCCAGGAGATGTGGAAACAGAAACTGGAAACCATTAATGACATCCGTTCACATATCATCAGCTTAGAACAAGAACACAAACAGCATAGGAAAATAACACACAGGCTGACCAGACATGGCAGCAAGTAAGTCAGACTACAAGCAGTCCCTTTTTTTCAGCAGAGTCCTTTGCATGAATTAAAAAAAAAACTAGGGAGAAACAAAAGGGGCCACCTGATGCACTGAAACCTCCTTCATTTTTACTCTACTTTTACTATCACACTGTTACAAACTAAACACATATACATGGAACATGCTAAGTCTTTGACACTCTACAAACACAATTACAAACATAGCAGTATTTTTAATAATTTTCACTTGACAATGATGTTATGGCATATCGAAACATTGTATCTTTTTAACAAGCTCTATTCCAAAACTCCTATGCAATTATGCATTGATTGTCAATGGCAATCTGGATTATCTTTACAGATACTGTTTCTTATTTTTTTTTTTGTTCCTCTTTCAGGAAGTGCCCCTGGGGTCCAACTCAAGAATCTCCTGATCCATTTAGACGTCATTTGATCTTATAGTAGTCAATGTTTGTATATAAAGTGTGTAGAAGTGTTAGATTGTAATGCTTCTGTCATAGTGGTTACTTCTTGTAGTGCAATCCATAAAGACTTCCTTCTTCTCTGTATAAAATGCAAACTCGCATACTGGATAAATTCTCCTAAGGAAATAAGTCAGGATGCCTCAGGAAGAGAACGTAGGTTGCTGTTATTAAATTTTTTATTTAAGTGAGATTTCATTTTTGTTTGACCCTCTACAACAACATCACCCGAGTGTACTGATTTTCAGAACAAAGAGCTTAAACTCTGCATTTTATTTAGTAATCTAAGTTTATAATTTTATAATTATATTTTTTAAGTTGAATTTACATCCTTCAGACTTACAGCAAACAAGTGTATTTGTTATCTTTCTCTTTCTAGTTTGATGTGGTGGCTTTTTTAATTTGGTAGTTGTTTCTTTTATGTGGTATTGCGATTTGTAGAAAAATGTGAAAAAACTTTTAGAGGGAAAATGATTTTCTTTGCAGTCATTTCTAAGGATAAAAATAGTAGAGAAATTAAGTTTAGGAGTATGGGGTATTTTATGTTTACCTAATTAAGAAAAATTATTTTACTATTTATGGGTTATTTGAAATGTTATGCAAACACTGTTTAATTTCTCAGAGAAGTTGATCCAATTAGTTTTTTTTGAGAGGGGCCAGGAAGCTAACTTTTAAGAAAACTCTTAAGTCCTCATCAATTTAGCACAAGTCTGTGCTTCGAAGGACTGTTTTCATGTTAGAACTCGCAACAGATAATTGTATAATAGCATACCAAACAAATTGAGTTTGATCTTGGAAGGTATTCAAAGGAATATTTTACTTCAGATACAGGTGCAATACTCTGGTAGTAAAAAAAGAAGCACTTGCCCTCTCTCTTTTTAAGACAAAAATGCAATTGGGGTTCCCACATTTTCAAAAGATTCCCAGCCAGTCATAAACTTAACATACACAATAGTGAAACTGATTACCATAAACAGTGCTGGTTCTGGATATTTTGTCATGAAAGCTGTGTCTTTGAAAGTAAGCCCCATTGAATGGTTACTAGGGGTGTGCACAAAATTGTACAGTTAGTCATGAGTGGGGTTGGCTTAAAACTGAAGGCTGCACTATAATTGGTGGAGATCTGTTTTAACAAGATGAAATGCGAAGGTCTTTCATGCCAAAATATTTTTTTCCTTGGGCTCTTTTACTCTGCATTCATTCTAGTCCTCTACATTTTCTTCATGATCATGAGTGAAGCATAACTCAAACAATGTCACATTCCTTTTTCCTTTTCTTTTTTTTTATATTTCAGTCTGTTTGTTATTGTCTTTTTGTTTTCATTCTGTTTTGAGTTTGGTTTTTAGAATAATTCTTTAAAAAATTAACACACACACACACACACTGTTACTCTGTTATTCCTTCAAGTGTTGAATCCACTCTCATATCTGTGGAACTTATCATTTTTTTAGTTCTGTGATCCTTTCTGACTTTTAGATGTTTCTAAGAGTTGAATTGCATTTTTGGCTGCTCATTAATGATTTAATACTTCAAATTTAGATGTTGCTTCATTGTATTGCTTTATTTTTGTAATATACCTATATGTTAGATTTTCAAGTCATATCGATGTAAACTATTTGAAATTTTATGCATGTAGATGCAAATTATTTTTGTTTAGATTGGACCAGTATGTTATTTATAAAGTTTTGCTGGTAAAACCAGCTCTTGGTTTTATTTAACCACTTGATAATAAGCAGTAAAAATTTCAATGGTCAATCCAGCTTCTCACCACATGACTCCCTAATGATGAGCTCCTGTTCATTCAGTGGCATTTACGCCAAGAATCTTGTCTGAGTAAACGCAGTTGTGCAACAGACATGACACTTTCACACTGGTTTGTCCTAAACTTATCACAGTTTCACAAATCACACCCTGGTCCTAAAAATCATCCACTACATGTTAGTTTTCCTAAAGCCAGTGACACACTTTATAAGCCAATTATGGTGATAAAATCACCAGGTGTGTCGCTGGCTCTGGGGAATAACAGATGATGTATTTCTTCATATGTGGGTTTTTAAAATTCATTCACTACCACAAGATATTAACGTGTAACTTCTCCCAAAAAAATTCAAAACATGCAGTAGTAAGTTTATGAGAATGGAAAGACTATTGTATGTAACACTGCCTAATTTACAAGGAAATGTCTATTAGCTACTGTAGTGGGGAGAATTACTGATTTTGATCTGGGGATTGAGAGGTAAAATGCAGTGAGTTTTTTTGTATTTGAATGATGACACAACTTTCCATTATGATTTTCACATAAAGTTTTTCGTTCTGGTATTGAATTAAAAATTCATGACATGTACCATAGAGCAAGATGTGTGTTTGTAATAATCTCCTTTCAATTGGTTTGTCATGTTAATTTTATATAGAGTATGAAAACTAACCCATTACATCTAACTTAGACAAAAGTTAAGTACAGTTGCCCCCAAAAAATTGAAAATAAAACAAGTTAAAATGGAGTCATTTCATTGTGTGATTTTTTGTATACATATTATTTTAATCAAGAAGAAACAACATTTGTGGTTTTAAAAGATACTTTTTAACAATTTTTGTTTAAATCAAAGTGAAAGCAAAATGCAACTTAAATGTACAGTTGCTGCTCAGAATACTAATTGGTATAAACACAAAGGAATATACTATGCCCAAAGGAAACGTGCAAGTTTTAAACATTGACATGATACTACTGACAAGGTATGTGGGTTGGAAACTGCTAGAAGCATCAGTGGTGCAAACAGAGAGTGTGAACTAGCTTGGAAATTGGAAATTTTTAAATGTGTGAGAGGTCCACACCCACATTTAGAAAAAAAATGATAATTCTAATGAAGCAGTTGTACGTGATGTAAGATACTGCGTTGGACCCCAGTATACAAAATTTAGTTACTCTCAGAATATCTCACTTCATCCAGGAGTATTTTGTTACAAGCAATACTTAAACTGTGTTGTTCAGATCATGACCTTATGGCTTTCATCAATAAGTACACAGAATGGTTGATGGGTAGTAAGACCTTGATATTGGTTCCTATGCCTCTCAGAGGAAGGAGGAACCACTTCTGGAATGTTGAAACCTAGATCCAAGTTCCTTGGACTTCTGGATGACAGATTTCTTTTGCTCGCCAGTCATTTTTGGTAAGTTTAAGTCCTGGTCTCTATCAAATGGTCTTCGTTCAACAGGCTTGTCTTTATCTTCCTTCTATCAAATCATGGAGGAATGTAAAAGATTCAAAATAAAAGATTCAAAATAAAATGAAACTTACTTCAGAAATATAACATAGATCAAGAATTAGACATCACTTTACTGCTATCAATTTTCTGTGGTTCTTGTTATTCAAAAAACAGACATAAGTGATAATTGCACCATTTTGAAGTATTTTCACTCACCTTTTGTTTTTCAATTTTCTTTGTATGCATATCCATCAAGGATTCTCCCCTGTGTCGCTTCTGAAATCAATGTAAACAGTACAACAATTAGTTTATGTACCCGCAACTGCAATTGCTTCAAAGGAATCTTTTAATAAAACAGTCCATTCCCTGTGACAGTGTGAATAAATACTTATAAGATATTGCAGACTTTCCTTAGCTTCTGATTCAAATGCTTATATCAAACTCAGAAAAACTGGCAACAGGAGAAATGATTGAATAAATTACAATGTGAACATAACAATTACAAAATTCACCAACATGTCACCACTCACATTATGACTTTCCACTTGCTTGGTCATCTGTTGATCCCTTGTGATTTCCCATGGAGTCCTGACAGGTTCATCATCATCACCACCTCTTTTTGATCCTCTGTTACCCTCCTTTGACTGTGAAATGAACAACTAACTGACTAAAAATCATGTTGCTTTCACAGAACATTCTTAACCGATCCTAATCTCAAAATTCCAGTAAATGTTAGGAAACTATATTTAACATTGATTCAACTGCATCTGTTAACAAATCAGGCGTAGGGAGAAAAGAACCCCAAGGGAGCAGGCTCACTCCGAAGGGGGGAAGGATGGACAGAAATAGAGGTATGGAAGATAGAGGTGAAAATCATAGGAAGTAGATACCTTACAGAGGCAAGAAGCAGGACAAAAAGAAAAGTGCAAACCTTTTGAACAAGTAACCTGCCATATTTTCAAAAATGGTTGAGTGATAGGAGCCAAAAGGCATGAGGCTGGTGAGTAGGGTATGGAAAGCAATACATTCTCACCCAGCCTGCCACCCCACACCACTCCACTTCACCTCACCTCACCCCC